TTTCCCTCTAGATTTGAATGTCAAGCGGTTCTTAGTTGACACTAGTGACCACCAGAAGATAGTAGCTTTTAGACAGCTCTAAGTTTCCTCGAACTGTGGTTATCTCCTGGTTTCAAGGAATTTTTACAGCCACATGATAGGTCAACTTACTGCTTGGTAGCTATTTAACAATGGTTGATCGAAGATTGCATTGTATGTCAGCTGGGATTCTACCACCAAAAAGTTCTGTGTTGGTGAACTATTTTTCTTGTTCTCCCTACAAGACAAGCAACGTGATCATGCCCAGGGCTTCTTTCCTCTTGCATGAGAAGCCGAACAATGGGTCTTCCAGTGTCGCCAACCGATTGGTTTTGAGTCTTAGTTTGTCGATTACCATTTTGAATAGGATATTGACTGAACTTCCGGCGTCGACTAGGATGTTGCACACCTAGTAGTTGTTTATGATGGTTGTGACAATGATTGCCTCGTTGTATGGGTTTCCCTTCGAAGGGAGATCTGCATTTTCAAGAGTGATTGGGGGGTAAGTACGAGTGTAAGAGTTAATGAAACATAACACCCACGAGCAGAATCTCTTCAAGCTAGATGGTCGGGATAAACCTCCACCTCTGCCAAAGATTGTCAGGATGATCCCAGATAGATAGATCTCACTTGCTTGAACAGGTTCATCTGGGTGCCCCTTGCTAGAGCCTTTCCCTATCCCTGTGTGTGCGCTCCAAAAATGACAAAATCCTTCAACTTTTCAGCCTGGATGAGCTATTCTATCAAATTTTTTAGATGACTACATTTCTCTGTGTCATGCCCATGATCCGATGGTAGGCACAATATTTGTTCATATTACATAGTACCGATGCAATTTTCAGCGGAGGGGTTTTCTTGAAGTAGTTTTTATTTTGAATGGCTTGGACTACTTAGATCATCGATAGATTTAGGGTTGTCGAACCTTGCATCTCTTAGTATACTTGTGTTCACTTGAAGTATCAGGTAGACCACCAATTAAAGGGGCATCGTTGCTGATCTTGGTTGCCTCGGTTGCCCCTATGATTATTCCGAGACCTTGATCGCCATTCAAACGATAGTCAAGGACTCAATCTCTCTTTGTCCTTTTATCGTCATTATGGATCTTCAGGTTCTGTGGCTGGTGATCGAATGCTCTTGCTGAGGACTCCATAAGGTCTTCCTCATCGGTAATTTGGTCATTTGCTAGTTCCAAGACCTCTGCGAAGGTCATTGGCTTGAGTAGGTTTGGGTCATACCTGAAGCAATTGTTGTTGATCCCCTATTTAAGGGAGGTCTGGGAATTAAGAGGCTCCAAGTTCCTTACCTCCAGCATTTCCTTTAGGAAATGAGTGATGTAAGCCTGCAGGTTTTCAATCTCCACTTATCCGATTTGAAGCAGGGTCTTTGTATCTTTCCTCAGTTTCTGTATGTTAGCAAATTGTGCCAAGAAGAGATTTCAGAATTTGAAGAACAATGAGGCGACTCCATTTGACTGGCTAATAAACCATTAGAGCGCATTTTCTTTCAACGTGGTTAGGAATAACCGACACTTCATGACATCATCGATCTGTAGGACTCCGACCGTTGACTAAAAAAATTGAGATGATCGACCGTGTCACTCTTTCTTTTGTAGAAATCAAAGTGAGGAATCCTTAGCTTCGCGGGGGGGTATTGTTTCAAGGATCTTTCAGAAGGAGTTGCCCATGACCAGCCGAGCAAATGTTCTCACTTGGTCCACTGGTGCGATACTACTGGCGTAGATGCGGTGCTATGTTGAGGGGAGCTTTCTCGAAGCGGGTTCCCTGAGACTCCCCTCAACAATCCCCTAGGGCTCGGCCAGGGAACCCCCAGGCCT